ATTTGAAAAATTAAAAAAACTAAATATGAGAAATTAAAATTAAAGAGACCAAAGTATACATACATTAAAGCATATGAACCAAAAGTACAATTAAACCAAATTTTTTGAGTATCTTAATGTCAATGTAAGGTTATGATATCAACCATTAATTATCTTTGAGATACTTTCTCTTATTATAAATATATAAAATAACTACTGATAAATTTTTTATTTGTAACAAGTAAAGACTTCATTTTTAAATGTACTGTTTATCTATACTTTTATTTTTTTTATAAATTTTGTGTGAATAAGATACTTACTTATTATTTTTATAAATAAGTATAGTCATTCACTAATTTAATGCTACAAAGAGTTCTCAAATATAGTATAAATTTATGATTTGTTATTAATTGGATAAATGAACTATTTATTTTTTATAAATAAGATGGGATAAAATATTTGTTGAAGAATTAATAAATATTAATTAACAGTTAGGATGAAAGTGCATTAAAAATTACAATAAAAGTATATTAATGAACTGGTAAGTTTGGCAGATAGCACCCTGGAAGAGACAAGAGCAAAAGCTGTGAATGGTTGGTAGAGTTTATTCTAATAAACGAATTGTCTTTGGGGCCAACATTTTACCTGTGCAGTGCAAGTAGGATTCAATGTTCTTCATTGCTCTGATTCAGACCATCTCCATCTCTTCATGCTCAACAAACAACACCTTTAATTTCAAAGAAACTTCAACCTTTCTATTTTATGCCACCTTTTTTATTTCTAAACATGGAGTTACCTTTTCACTAAACAAAATTATATCCAAACCAAATAACGAAATGAAATGATCTTAAATTTCATGAACACAGTGGACGTTCTGAATACAAGCCAAGTATTTTGAACTAGTGTACTTGGGAGATTCGCTTAACGATAACAAAGATTGACAAGAATAAAGATGAAAAATCCCAATAACACACTAATCTTGACCATAAAATAATTATAAAATACTTGTCCACTATGGCTCACAATACTGATTCGATGAGCAATATGGTTATCATGAACCAATCATCATAAGTGGGCCACAACGAATTCAAGGTCGGTGAGAATCGGCAGCTTCACATGTCAACCAATTCGAATAGGATCCACGACCCCAAAAAGAGTTTGATTGCACAAGTGTAGTAATTTCTATTCATCCATGTGCCTCGCCACAATGAATTCATATCTATTTTCATGATAAAACTTTGCATTTTTCTATCAAAATATAATCACTAAAAAGACCTTTTTGTTGCCTAAAACCTTATGCGTTTATTAAGAACTCTCTACATCGTAAATTTTATTAATAGATAATAGCCGGACATAGTAATATTTCACATGAATACACATAATAACATCAACAAAAATATCATATTTAGACATGCCACGATTCTCTCCAACAAGTTGAAAGTGAAAAGTAGGACTTTAGATTCACTGATCTTCAACACACATTCACAGTGTGCGAGCAACATTTCTTGAATGCGAGTGCAAACGTTTGTAGTTCTTGAATGATAGAGGCAGAATCGTTCTTGGAGATAATTAGACCAACCTATGCCAACAAGTACGAGGAAACCATTGAAACTAAAAAGGTTTGAGGAAAAAGAGATAATTGAATTAATTTTAAATTAATAACTTATATGTTTTTTTCATAAATAAAGTTAAGGTGAATTGAGTAAATTATATTATATTTAATTCTAAAAATTGTTTGGAGAATATTTCAAGAATCTAAATAATAACTGATCAATTATAAAAAAAATTAAAAATATAAATTATATAATTTTTTATAACTTCTACTAGAATAATTAAAAAAATAATATATAACATCAATATTATTTAATGAAATATTTTATCGTATCATATCAAAATTTAAATTGTTATATTATAAACAATTATACTATGAAATAATTTTAACAATTTTATGCAATAATTAGTAATTATTCTGTATTTTAAATATTAGTCAGTGCAAATTAAATATTTTCATATACTTTTTTATAATAATTTTTGCAAAAATTATTCAAGAATGGTTATAAAATTATTCTAAACGATTTATATGTGTTATTTATTTAAAATTTTAAGCAACATTTAATAATCGTAGTATATTAATTTTAAGAATGATTTTAATCTACTGTTTATAAAATTTATAAATTTTATATTACTAGAGTAAATGATTAAAAATTGTTGTCTGTTATAGTTTTATACATCAGTTTATTTGTCATTAGAAATAACAATGTTGCAAATAAATACATAGAGAGAAATTTGATGATTTGGTTGATAAGTGTTAAACAAAAGTTAATTCAATTGATTTATTTTGTAAATCATTTTTAATAAAAAATGAGAATTTGAGGTTTATAGATGAAAGAATATTATTAAAAAGAACTAACGAATTTACTTATTTTTTAAAATAACTTAAATAATTAAAAATAAAAAATATACATAATTAAAATTAAAGGAAAAATATAATTGTATTACTAAGTCTTAACTATATTCAAAAAGTAAAAATATATTTTGAATTTATGTTTTATTGTTCAACTTTCTTATTTGTTACAATTTAAATAAGTATTAGTGTAGTATTTTTTTAATATAATTTGACATTGATTTGAAGTTGTGTTATTTATATAATACATGATTTAAGATCAATTGCTTAACAACCTAGAAGTTGAGGGCATAACTTCCTAAGTGATAGTTGAATAATAATTTAATGTATTTAATAGGTACATGTATATTAAGTGTAAAACTATTATTATATTATAAATCAATGTGTAATACAATAAATGACAACGATTTTAAAATTGCACCTTTTCATCCCAAATAAAGAGTCTATATTTTATCTATAATTCATAGGCAATAATTTATAAGTGTAACACTTGATAATCATATCATATGCAACAATTTTTTTTTTATTTGGTTTAGTCGATATGACTTGAGTCACGTACTTAGAAATAATGAGTAAGTTTATTACTAAAAAAATATACAAAAATTCAAATGTAATTTAACAAAATGTTTCATTAATATATCCAAGGACAATAATTTTTATATGTAATTCATAGCTATTAAATGTAACAATTTAATTTTTAGTCAATCGTAAATCGTTTACTTAAAAAATATAACAGTGTTTAAATGTATTTTTTTTATTAATTAAATGTAATTTTATAATATTGCTGAAACAATTAAGTATCTTTGTATTCCTTAGTAATTAGAGACAACAAATTTTCAATTGTAATACTTAATAATCAAAAGGAATGATCTGTAAGAATGTCATAAACGGCGATGAAGGTGAAGAAATTGTTGTAAAAAAGTAAAGACAATAATTATGTTATTGTAACCTACAATTTATAGGTATGGTATTAGAACCTAAAGTTTGTAAATATCAATTTTTTAAAAATATTAATCTTATAGCTTATATTTAAAATTCTTCAAATTTTATCTTATTTTCACTAAATTTCTAAATCTAAACTCTTAAAATTATTCCATGTTTTAAATTCTTCGTAAATTTCAAAATTTTTAGATAGAAAATAATAATAATTTCAACATTAAAACTAAATTTACTCAATTTTTAAAATAAAAAATTAAAACTATATACAATTTAAATTAAAAAAATAAGAATATATTTAAGGCCATATATGTTATTCCCGTGAAGTGGGTTGATAAAAATATGAACTAGTTGGTGAATGAACCTAACATGGCTTGTGGGGACTCGATCCCATTGATTTCTTTACCACGAATAAAATGAGAATAAACTTGTACGCATTTGGTCCTCTCGTGAGGATTCAAGGCAACACACACTTCAGCTTTATTGTCACGCAAGAGGTTCAGAGATTAACTAAGGACCATTCAAACCTATTTCATCAAATAAAACAATCACCCACAACACAGTACCTCACACGTAACTTGTTTCATAGCTTCATTTTTCTGCTCCTGCATAGCATTTTGCTCCCACATTTTGGTTCGTTGTCTTCCAAGATATTCAATTGCAGAAAAAATAGAAAAAACGGAATGGAACAAATGCTAATCTTTGTTCTTAGATTCATCGCCCTACTATTTATAAAGAATAACAGTAACGCATGAAATGTGCCGAAACAAGAGTTAACAATAAAATAATAGAAAAACAAAAAGAAATATGATAGATGATATCTAATAAATTTTATTATTAAATTTATAACATAAATCATTGTTTAAAAACTATTAACTAATTAAATTGGGTATCTAAGTGTAGTTTTAGCATATGGGGAGTAACTATATTTCTCATTATGCGAACAAACAACATTCTGTGTTCAAGAATATGACTAAAACAGAAAAATAGAAAAGGAAAGAAATGATAATTCAAAATTTATTTAATTTATTAAAATTTAATTTAATAAATATAAAAAATATAATTTTTTTTTTCACATTTATGTTATATTTTTTATGTCAAGTCTCCATTAAATATTAGATATGATAAAGGCTTATCCTATCTGTTATGATTTTATATAAAATTTGGGCATTATTTATAGAGCGTAAGCCCATGTGTAAGGAAATAGCTTAGTCTTAACAGAAGCTTGGCAAATTCTACTGTATCAGGTTGAATCAAAGGAGAAAATCATGGCTTTTACATAATCATAGCTTAGTTTGCAAGTACTGCTAAAATAGTAATTATTATTTGGATAAAGATCTTATTTTTTATGACTAAACACAATTCAAACACGGAATTATCTGCAACATTTCAGAAAGATATCTATCTGCTATATCATTTTCCCTCCTCTCTCCCATTTTGTCATCCCTTTATTTGTCCATACAAGATGGAACATTTCACCCCCACATTTTTTTTTTCACTCTCTTTTCTATCTTTCTTTTCAAACAAACTTGTTTACGTATTCCTTTATACTATGTCACAGGCATCTCAGCAAAAAGGCAAGGAAAAAGGGGTCAAAATTCTGAAACCAACGCGCCTATGTCAAAGGAGCCTCACTATAAATATGGTCATTTACAGGGGCCTTTCAACCCCATGAGAACTTAACTACTACTGCTAAAAGCCTTTAGAGTCAAAACTCAAAAATGTCATTTTCCTGTGGCAAAAAATTTTTCAAGAGGTTCTGTGTGGATGAATTCCAAATGGGAAGTCTTCCGTATAGCAGTTTTTTGTCTAATGATCTATTGCCATCCCTTGGAGCCAGAATCAACCAAGAAACAAGACTAAGAAGATACATAATTTCCCCTTTCAATCCACGTTATAGGTGATGATGCCTCTTCAACCACATCACAATCCAATATATCTCTCAATGATATTATGGTTGTTTCTTCTCATATGTGCATGCTATTATTATTGCAGGGCTTGGGAGATGCTACTAATTGTTCTAGTTGTTTACTCTGCATGGATTTGCCCATTTGAATTTGCCTTTCTGCCTTACAAGCAAGACACACTATTCATCATAGACAACATTGTAAATGCCTTCTTTGCCATTGACATCATGCTTACATTCTTTGTTGCATACCTTGATAGCCATTCTTACCTTCTTGTTGATGATCCCAAGAAAATTGCAGTCAGGTATGTATCTACCTACACATAATTTGTTGTCATTCTTATATGTCTGCTGTGATTCTTATTCAAATAATTTTTATTTAAAATAACCATATTGTTATTTATTAATCAAAGAAATATTTTTGATAAAATTTAATTAAATAAAAGTGATAGCTGCACATTTGAATGATGATAGACACTCAAGCTTGACACTTTGTTCCATTAAGACTATAATGAATCACAAAATCTTTGTTTAGTGACATAGCTCCAGAAAACTTACAGGTACATATCAACCTGGTTTATCTTTGATGTCTGTTCAACTGCACCTTTCCAATCCATTAGCCTCCTCTTCACGGATCACAGTAGTGAGATTGGCTTCAAAATTCTTAACATGCTTCGGTTATGGCGCCTGAGACGAGTCAGTTCTCTGTTTGCAAGGTCCAACATCATATCATATACTCAACCTTAATGGTTTTCAAACACTTTCAAACTGAAAGTGCTTACTAGCTCCTCTCATTTCCTTCAGACTTGAGAAGGACATTCGCTTCAATTACTTCTGGACTAGGTGCTCAAAGCTCATTGCTGTAAGCCAATAAAGCCTATATTTTTTGGTTTATGTTATGCTGCATCATTCATTGCAGTGAATCCGAGAGAATACGTTTTGACATCATTCAATTACTTGGATACAGTACTTTTAATGTTTTTAATCCAAATTAGAAACCAATGCGTACCTTTGACATAAATCTGTATCATATTACTTAGTAAGGTGAAATTGTAATTTTAATTGGAGAATAACATCACAAACACAAAAAGTAGTACTATATCTAAGGTTTGTTTCTTTTTAATAAAAAATCATTTTAACCATTTAGAATTGAGATGCCATGCCACTTCTGATCAAATTTCAGGTAACCTTGTTTGCTGTGCACTGTGCTGGATGCTTCAACTATCTGATAGCAGATAGGTACCCAGATTCAAAAAGGACTTGGATTGGTTCTGTGTACCCAAATTTCAAAGAAATGAGTCTATGGGAAAGATATGTGACAGCCATATATTGGTCCATTGTCACACTTACTACCACTGGGTATGGGGATTTGCATGCAGAAAACACAAGAGAGATGTTGTTTGATATCTTCTACATGCTGTTCAACCTGGGATTAACATCATACATCATTGGAAACATGACAAACTTGGTAGTCCATTGGACAAGCCGCACCAGAAATTTTGTATGTGCTCTCAAACTTATTCTTCTTATACTATCACTTATTTGCCAAGAGTTCAGATATTTCAAGCTATAGAATTAGAATAAATCCCGAGTCTCAATCATCATTACCACTAATTGTTAACTATTATTTTTAATTTCAAGCACTAGAATTCGAATTAATCCCAACTCTTTATCATCTTACACTTGACTATTATTTTTAAAAAAGTTGAAAAGCCTTTGAAATACCCATTAAAGAAACAAAACTAAAATTACAATTTAATAAAAAAAAGAAGAAAGTAATACATTTATTTACTTCTTAAAAATAATTATTGAATACTCCTTAATCTGTCCTACTCGAGAACTCTTAAATAATAGGCTTATTTTTAGCTTCAAACTACGCTTATGTTTCAATGTATTGTAATATTGCTTGTGGCCGTCCAAAAACTTTTGAGTATTAAGAGAGGTTAAAAATAATACGAAAATAGAAACATAATTAATAATACAATAATAGAAGAAATAAAAATATGTGCTAGAAAAATTATTGAAAGATGAATTCAATATTTTTTTTACATATTTCCGAATATTTTTTTTCAAATTTGATGATTATTTTCTCCTTATTTTCTGTAAAAATAAAACAAAATTCTTAAGAAAAAAAAGAGATTATTATTTTACGTTTATCTCATTTATAGAAATAGTTTAACTTTTATAAAATTTTTATTTTAATAATTATTTTATGTTATTTATTAAAAATTTATTTCAATCTGTTTGATGATTAAATTTCTATCATAAATTTTTATATGATAAAAATTTAATTAATATTATTTTAATTAAGTTTTTATGTAAATATATCCGTAAATTCTTTAAATTCCAATTAAAGTATCTTATGATTCAAACAGTTAGGGAAGTTTAAGAGTAAATTAAACATGTGTAACACGATTCAATTTGAGAAAAATAAAGAGTTAGTTCAAATTTTCAGATAAATCAGATTATTCATTATCTTTTATTTCAATCTGACTGAACAAATCTACTCATATATATTTAACATATAATAAAAAAGTAATTTTTTATATAAACCAACTATTTGACCAAATTTAATTTATTCTTAATCGAGTTAATTTAATTAATATCATAGGTTCGTACTTAATTAAAATCGTGTTAATTCAATTTAAAATTATTTATTTTGATTGATTTGATTCGGGTTTTCTTTTTTGTTACACTTATCCGACAACACGGCTATAAATGTGAAAATTAAAACAATTAATTTGTCGTGTAGTGATTGGAAACTTCTTTGAAACTATGATGCAAAGGTGTTAAAAGGTTTTAAAGTAGAAAAAGTTTTTGGAGAGGGGACACGTGGCGCATAGCCACACACCATACGCACCGACGTGGGTCCTCTGCTGCATCTTTCCTTCGCTTTTATAATTTGTTGTTCCAAAAAATCTAAGCAGTCTATAATTAATACTTTCTTTTATGATGAAAAACAAAAACAAATTGAATTGGGTTTGATGTCCTTAAAAATTTTATTAATTCGATTTAAACTAATTCAATTACACTTCGGTTGTTGCATTTCATAAGATTATCAGGTTATTTTATTAGGGAAGTTATTTTAAAAAAAATATCAAAATAACATTCAAAAACAGAGAAAATTTTTCATTATACGTATATTTACATATGCTTAAATTTATAAAAGTATTAATAAAAATAGAAAATAAAAGAAATGTATAAGCTAGTCCAGGTTAGTTCATGTTTTGGCATTAGAAGGTGTATAATCTAATATTCAAGATGTTAAATAAAGAAATATGTAATCCACATGATTTCAGGAATTTTAGCTTATTCTAAGCCTCCTTAGCACAATGATTCAGTAGTATAACAGATTAAAAGAATTTTTGGCTTTGGTGGCACAGAGAGATACAGTCAGAGAAGCTTCAGAATTTGCATCAAGAAATCAGCTGCCCCATCACATCCAGGATCAAATGTTGTCACACTTATGTTTGAGGTTCAAAACAGAAGGGTTGAAGCAGCAAGAAACACTAAATGGCATGCCAAAGGCAATTCGTGCAAGCATTGCTCACCATCTATTCTTTCAAGTTGTGCAAAGGGTCTACCTCTTCCAAGGAGTCTCACATGACTTTCTTTTCCAGCTGGTAACACTTCACATGTCCCTATTATCCCTTCTTTCTTCATTCTTCTTCACCTACAAGGGAAAGTAATCTATTAGTTACTTATCTAAAATGTAAAACTAAATATATATCTATGACACTTTTTAATACATTCTTTACTCCTCAGTATATAAAGTCTAATGGAAGTGACTTTGTAACAATAGGTTATAGAGATGGAAGCTGAGTATTTCCCACCCAAGGAAGATGTTATACTACAAAATGAGTCTCCTACCGACCTATATATACTGGTTTCAGGGGCAGTGGTGAGTGAGCTAAAGCATGACTAATCAAGTAAGCTTTTAAAGATTGCCCACTAATTGAAAAAAATTGCTTTCAATTGATTAAATGTGGCAGGATCTCATCCGCTCTGTTGATGGCCATGATCAAGTATGTATATATGTCATAGCATTCAAACATTGCATTTATGAATTCTTTTGTTTAAACTCCCAATTTAGCACTTAGATTGTAAGCATCGATTATCTTTGTTTCTAACTTTTATATACCCATATTTAGTCTCCAACTTTGCAAAAAAGTAATTTATTTTGGTCTTTAATGTTGGTAAAATATGACATGGAAAAGGACTGAATTGAATGACTTTGACAAAATCAAAAATTAAATGAAGTTTAGAAAATGACTAAACTAAGCAATGCTTACAATCTTAGAGACTAATCTGGGAGTGTACTTATTTTGTTGTCTTTATATTTATAGTACACAATGAAACAACAGAATATAACTTACTAGCCTGATTTCAACAATCCAGGTTCTGAAGCATTCTACTGCAGGAGATACACTTGGAGAAATTGGAGTTTTATACTGTAGACCACAACCTTTCACTGTTCGGACCACCGAGCTTTCTCAAATTTTAAGACTCAGCAGAACTTCATTGATGAATGCCATACATGCAAATCCAAAAGCAGCACAAATTATAATGAAAAATCTTTTAATGGTAATAAGGATATTAGACACCCTTTGAACCAAGGAAAATTTTGTGTTAACTTTATTTTCATATATCACATATCTCCCCACCCACTTCAACAATATTAACTATTTGACAATTTGATAACTGTATTGACAGAGCTTAAAGGGTTATCAAGGATTGGATTTTTCGTATCCACCTATAGACCCTGAATTGGATCTTCACCAAATTCATGATTGGGACAACACAGGAGGAAGCTCTTCTGATGGATTTACAAATAGTTCATACGAGGAAGCCAGATTGCATAACATGATTCCTGAAGATGGAAAAAGAGATCTTTATGCTACTGCTCACATAGGTCATCCTAACATGGAAGCAAATGAAAAGAACTTAAACCCCATAAGATGGAAACAGAAACCTCTAGTAGAGCAGCAACAAAACCAGAGCATTTCTGACCTTGCAATGAATCATGAAAATAGAAAGACACTAGATGAACATATAATAGAGTTTGTGGAGCCACAAATCCTTAACCATACTAAGAATGACCCAACTAGAGAAAAAGATGTTCTTAGAACTGTCAACCACCCTTTAGGAAAACCATTCACAAACTCCTATTCAAGCAACTCCAATTATAGAACTGATAGAGAAGCACAAGTATTATTCAAAAAGAGAGTTACCATCCACTTTCTAAGCAAACACAGACCTTCCTTACAGGATCAGCATGGGAAGTTGATTATTTTACCTGATTCATTAGAAGATCTGCTCAAAATTGCTGGTAAGCATTGATTCATTAAACAACATGAAAAGGAGAAAAATAATTAGGATGCTAAAATTTTAGTAAAAGTAACAGAAAAGGAAAAATCTATATTTCTGGATCAAATACTATTTTTTAAACACGACAGTATACACTTCTCTTGTTTTCACATTCTGACTTTGAACTTGTGAAATTGCAGGAGAAAAGTTTGGAGGCTCCAAGCCTACAAAAGTAATTAATACTGAGAATGCGGAGATAGATGATATTAGTGTCATTCGAGATGGTGATCATCTATTTTTTCTTTCAAGTGACAGTGAAAATTTAAGTTCATAATCTTATCAATGATAGTCACAGTGTGGATATGAAGCTAGGTTGTAATCTTCAGGAAGATGATGATGATAATAATAATAAAAACCAAAAAACAAAAAAGCACTGACAGATTACATAAAGTGTTAACCGTCGATGGAGGTAGTAATATTCTCTTCCTTTATTGCAAAAATACTGAAAATTTGTGTTCATGATTTTATCTAATCCAATATAACTGTATCCTTTAGGATGTAATAATAATATGATCGTATATTAAAAATATTGTAGAAACATAAAATTCAATTAAAAAAGCTGCTCTGCTCTTTGTTATATCGTTACAATTACCGCCAAAGTTTTCTCTTATTAGGTGAGATTGATCTACAAAATAAGTGATGTCACTATATTTTATATCACAAAACATTTTTTTATAAAAACAAAAATGGTATATGGATCAAGGTAATTATCAAATCATTTCCATATACTTACGTAAAAGTTGTTATGTTAAATTTCAAACTGAAAGTGACCTTTAGGGCAGAACAATGTTACACCAAACGGGCACACATCAAAACAAAAAATCCAATTTGCTGGTCCAAATTTGTGTATGGGGTGTTGGTTCTATAGAGCATGCAAAATTCAGCTGTAGCAGCATTTTGTCTAGAAAGGCTAATCCCAAGGTTTAAACTCTGATTCTTAGTAGTTATTAGTTAATAGGGAGATCACTTAAGATTTGTCACTTTATGCCGTGTAAAATCTCAGAAACCGATGCTCGTCTCTTCTAACAATGGGTCGTTCGATATGTTCACATATGGAGACCCTTATATCCTACCTGTATTCAACAAGTATGTGATCTTTACTGTTTTCATTCTTTGGCCTTGTTTTTTCTCAGCTTCTTTTCGGGCACTAGGTCACAGGTAAGGAGCTGAGTTTCTATTCATGGAAGGTAATAAATTAATTTTGATAGATGATACCTATTTCATTTGGATTTTACATTAGCTAGTTTCTATTCTTCCCATGTGAAATGCCAAAATAGTCATGAATTCTGTGCATTCCCATCATCTTTTCTCTAACAGGATTGTTTTCTTTCTATCTTTACTTGTAAGTGTGTAAACTAAAACAGTATTGAACAGGCTTTCTCATTTAAACACTCTCAAGCAGGGTTGTCTAGCTTTACTTGTGTACTAAAACCCAATACAATAATTTTCTTATACTTTATATTTTTAATAAATTTTTATTGATAATTGAAAGTATTATAAAAATAGTGTATTAAAAAATGTGTTCTTAATATTCTTCAAAGTTGTAAATTAAATATAAACAAATTCTAACAACAAACTTTTTAATACATGGTAATTGGTCCAGTTTTTTAAAGAGCAAAAAAGCTTACCTCATAAATTAATCACATTTTAATATTATTTTAACTTTTTTAAAATTAGAATACTTACCAAAAAAATATATTTAAAAAATATGTGTTACTAAACTTCTTTATTAAAATATACCAATCAGATCAACTTAGATTATCTACGCAAATGGTTGCAAATGTCTTTTTGGTTCCAGGAATGAAGGAAATCTAAGGGCAGGTGACATGATTATATGAGAGTGTATGAGTGATGGTTAAATTATAAACGTGTGAGGACAGAAGTTTTGAATTTCTCTAATGTTTAAAAGTTTGTAGGAAAGAAAATTGTTTAAAAAGTATGAAAAGAGAGACGAAGAAAGGAGGAATGAGAATTAATACAAAACTCTTTAAATCAGGAGAATTTAAAAATATAAGATTATGAGTGTTTATAAATTTTCTCTTTCATTTAAATTTTTTAAATAAGGATAATAATTTTATAAATCGTCTCTTTTTCTTTAAAAATTAACTCTCAAATAAAGTCTTAATATATGAATAAAACTTAACTTAATTTAGAGATAAATTATTCTTTTTAAGATTTTTCAATATTATTTATTTTAGTCTTTAATTATATTAAAAACTATGTTAATATTTAATTTTATATAATTTAATAAAAATTATTAAAATTATTTTAATTATGTTAATATTCTATTTCTCTTTACTATTATAAATTGGTAGCTTTTGAATAGAAGTTAATGTCGAAACACCATGTTGTGTACATCTTTTATGAAGAGAACATAAAAAATATTTAATTATTTTTTAATATGGTAAAATATTTTTGTAAAGAATTTGTAATTATGTGATTTTTTTTCTTTAAAATTAATATTTATTTTTTTTATATTTAGCTTCACTAAGTTGTAAAATCTAATTTTATTATATCAAAATTATTTTATCTTTTTAAAATTTTAATTTACACTCATACTACAGTTGTTGATATTAACAAATTTAACAAAGTAGAAAAATAAATATAAAATTATTTGTCTCTTATCAATGTTGTCCCAACTACGGGTGACAATCCATTTAATTTATTCATGCAAAAATCTAACAAAATCATCCAATCATAAAAATAAAAATTAATAGATGGATTGAATTGAATCACTATGTATTATTGGATGGATAATAAATCGTCCATAACATTTTGTAATCTGTTAGTTTAAGAAATCTAAAATTTGTTACTCTTTAAGGGACGAGTCATAGACTCTATTTAAATATGCATGGACATTAAAAATTATTTTATAATTATTTTATAAAAATATAATATAATATATATTTTTTATCACAAAAATATAACATATTTTAAATGAATGGGTTGGAATCCATTCATAAAAAATATTTTATGAATGTTATAGGAATGCTACGTGCAACAATACCGATTGCTTATATTGCAACATAGAATAGGGTTCTAGTTGCTTATGTCAAATTTTAATACCTAAAATGCTATAAAAAATGGAAAAAACAATTAAATTGCACAAATATTAATCATCCATCCAAATTGATACAGCACGACATGCAGTTCAAATTTGGAACGCAGGTTTTCCATATGATAAATAACATTTTTTAAGGAAGTGTTTTGTGTTAAAATTTGATTACGAGAAGGCTTACGATTCAGTGGAGTGGAGATATCTTTTATTTATGTTATGTAACTTTGAATTTTCAGAAAAATTAGTCAGTTGGAAGAAACCTTGTGTGTGGGGGGTAGTCTCTCAGCTTTGATTAATGGTTGTCCTACATTGGAGGTTCATATTGAGTGGGGCCTAAAACAAGGGATCCTCTTGCCTTTTTTCTTTTTCTTGTGACAGCGGAAGGGTTAAAAGTTCTTATGCGAAAGGCAGTGGCTTGTGAGTTATTCTCTAGTATGAAGATTGAAGTAGGGGGACCGGATATTTCTTTGCTGCAGTTTGCGGATGACACACTTGTAACACCTTAAATTTAATTTCAATAAATAAGGAATAAAATTTTAAACAATAAACTTCCATTTCTAATTCAAGTTTTATCAAACATTTCAAAATAAAGAAAGGAGGTTACAATTTCATCAAACAACTGCCACAGGACTTATTCAAATACAACAATTTTCAAAATAATATATTAAGTCTTATAACAGTTTCATCCACCCCTTCATTGAGTCTAGTGTTAATCGTCTTGGTTACCTGAAAAATAAATATAAGGGTGAGTACTCTACACTACCCAAAACACACAGTCAACGTAGAGTCTCACTTCCAGCACATTTCTAATACATTAAACAAGCACAATCACAGGCAGCATTATCACATAGCTCATGTCAATTTAACACTAATGCACTCATGACATCGGCAACATTTCACATCTGTAAGTACAATACACAAACCCATGCATATGCACGCTAGCCACACTCACTGTGGCACTGTGATAACAGATTTATACTATGAATGGTCGTCGGTTACCCCCGCCTCACGGATACCACGTGGGCAGTCACAGGTCGCTCAGCAAAGGTAGTGATCAGAGGTCTAGTCAGAAAGAGAGTGTGTGGCCCATGGTGCACCTATTCCACAGTCGATGTCACCACCACTCTCTCCTCCCCAAGGTATTTCTACCGCCCTCATCTTCCACACCCCTAGTGTATCGTTGAACCATTCGCAGCACATTACAACGGTGCTACACGCCTCATTCGCATACATTTCATTCATACACGCAATATTCATGCTTGCACACAACACACAACACACAACCTATATTCAATTCACAGTACTCGGCACATAACCCACATTTTATCCATAATATACGGCACATAGCCTTCATTTATTCACGATAATATTAATTAACCAATCAATGACATTTTATCACACACAATCACCTCTACGGGGCCTAACTATTCCAGCACACATCACGTTGCACAACAATTTCCATCAAACGCACAATTCCTACTCTCTATCTCAGTCATATTGCATTATTCATTGAAACACACAAGAATTTCAATACATTGAGATATGGTAGAGTCTTCCCTTACCTTAGATTGAAGACCCACACGCTAACTCCACCAAGAAGTGCTCCCCCTCACGGATTTTGTCCTAAACACATGGAGAATCTCCATGAAAAACCCAGAAATCACAAAAAATAGAGGAAAGAGAGGAAGACGAAAACCCTAACCGTTTAAAACTCACCCTAAGCGTTCCCCACACAGATTCAACCTTCAATCTAGCTTCTGAACGGCTTTTGAGGCAATTTAATCTGTGGAAAAGGGTTTGGGAATGAGAGCATTCAAGGGACTTCGAAGGGAGAGAGAGAAATAACCCTCCTCGAACCCTGACCCCTTTAAATCCTTTTCTGGTCACGACACTCTCGTTATAGTGAGATATTCTCGCATCTCCACGCTGCAGCAAAAATCTCAGACGAAACTGCACCCTGGTTTCTGCAGAATCTCGCTACAACAAGACTGCACCCAAAAATGCACCGAGAAGGCGACAGTTTTGGTCCTTCCTCCCAAGACCTTCTTGCTACAGCAAGAATAGCCCAGTATTATACCCTGCACTTAGGCACTTAGCCCATTTTCAGCCTATTCAGTCATGCATACACACATATATACACACACATCCACAACCTATATATATATATATGTATATGTATATATATTCATACTTATTACACACAAAACACCATCATTACGTATCCAATGCAAATTTTCAACATCCATTTACACTTATACACACATATTTATGCATTTAGATTTTATATAAATAATAATAATTAATATTACAAAATTCGGGGCGTTACAACACTAATTATGGA